AAAAAAAAAAAAAAAAAAAAAAAAAAAAGAAGAAGAAAAGAAAAGAAAAACAGTTGGAACAGAATCTAAACGTACTCCTAGTTTCCCCTAAAACCCTGTCCTTCCCTCTCATCCTAGTGTTCTAGGAGGCTGAAACAGGAGGATTATAAATTTGAGCCCATCCTTTGCAAGTTAACAATGCCTTGTCTCAAAACAGAAAAAAATAAATCATAAATATGAGGATGCGACTCACAGTTAAGGCCCTGAATTCAGTCTTCAACACCACGAAAAATGAGAACCATGTACAATCCATTGACTCGTGGTTTTCCTTATGGTGCCCATGTGGGGAGGAGACCACACTGTATAGGTTCCCTGCAACAGAGTGCCTGTCCTTGGGGCCTGACTTTGACACCTCACTGGGCCCAGTCACCTTTGCGACCAGCCCCCTGAACAGCTCTGCGGTCCATCTCTGCCTCTACTCCAGGGCCTCTTGCCCAATTATCACTGTAATTATCACTGTAATTTCACTGGTTCAGCTGCCCTCCTCCCTCCAAGTCCCAACACCCTGTACTGCTGAGGAGCCCGGGTCAGCACATTCCCAGCTGGCGCAGCACCAGTGCCCAGAACTGAACAGTACACACAGGGCCAGATCGATAGTTTCTTCAGTTTTACATGCAGAGGATTCTGTATGTAAAGGTCTACGCTTTGATTTCCATGAGTATCTGGCTCTTTCTTAACTGCAAATTCTGGGTCAAAACAGTTCATAATTTCAAATTTCATTATAAATTATATTCATTAGTACATTACTCTGACATTGTATTAATGTGTAATTCCCATTATCCTTGTCCACCGTAGTGTAAGGAATGCATAGCTGTTTGGTCATCACAAGAAGCCACTTGAAGATAAGCAATGATGTGGGTGATTTCTTAGTTACAATCTTCATTGCTGAGAAACAAGACCCCAATTTCCACAACTCTAAGGAGGAGAGGTCTGTCTAGGCTCACTTTTTGCAAGGGTTCAGTCCATAGCCAGCTGCGAGCGGGATGGTGTGGCAGAGGAGGAACAGTCCGTGGAAGGTTGGTAGGAAGCCTAGAGCCACCGAGGGAGGAGGCGTTGACGCCATTGACATTTATGAGAACCAAGGCAGTTACCTCTGCTTGTATGGAAATGAGCGCTTGTTAGTCTTTGGGGACTTAGAATGATGATTTAAGAAACATTACTGGGAAAAATATAGCTCCATTTTTTTCTCTTTGCTTCCTTTCATCATTCAGCCCCCTCCTTTGGAAACAACACTAAGATAGCTTCACTGGCTTTGCATGGTCAACCGCTGTGAGGCTCAGGGAACCACCCTGCCTGCCAAGTGCAAACCTTGCCCCTCTGCCAGCCCCACAAAGCACTGGAGCTCAGGAGTCCCCACAGCTCCTCGGAGAGGTGACGGCTCCCACTAGGACTCAGAGAAATCGGAGGGAATCACGATGCAGTCATGTGCAGTACAGGGAGTGGGTGTGCCAGGCCCAGCCACATGGCACAGGCTCAGGAAGGACCCAGCACAGACCTCGAGAGCTCTTGAGGGCAGGTCCGCCAGCACTGGTGTCCAGAGCTCTGCAGCCATGGAGTCCGTCACTGCCGCCATGGCGGGACGCAACCTGCAGCTGCTCCATCCTGTAGGAGGCGCTGAAACCCCCTTGCCCCAGAGCCCAGGGTGAGGCAGCAGGGGTCAGCCTGGGCTCCGCTGCCTCCTGCACCACACTTTACTATACCGATAAGGAAACACGCTTCGCTACGGATTGGTTTTAGAAATCTCTGATTTTGTATTTCGTGTATTTCACTTCAGGAGAGAGAGTGTGTTGTAAGTCACATCACCAGACTCTCCAGAGTAACGATGTGTAAGAGAATCCCGGAGATCATGCAAGGGTATTGGCTATCTAGATACTGGAGATGTTTTAGGAGTTTTGATTATTTCAGACCATAACTCATGTTCTGAAGCTGAGGGATTGACAGAGAGCCACAATGAGCCTTCATTTCTGTGTGCGTAAACATCACAGTGATATTCTCTTCCTTTGTTCTTACTTCGGTCATTGCTTAAATATTTACTCTTCTTCCAGCATGAGAAATGATACAAGAGAAATTCTTGAAATGGCACAATCTAATTCCTTAGCTTTATTTCACATGTTTTAGCTTAGGTTAATGATAGCCATCTCCAAAGTGACTGACTTGAGTGAAGACTTTTAAGCTGTATGGACTTAAGAAACACAATTTTAGAAAGTCAGCGCTAGTGTAATTCTAAATTACACCACGTGTGTCTATATTTAATGTATAAATGCAAATATATTAAAATTACAGTGCGACAGCCAAAATGTAAGAGGTACATAAAACATTAAAAAAAGAAAGGAGGGCGGGGGATTTAGCTCAGCGGTTCGGTGGCCTGCCTTACAAGTGCAAGGACCAGAGTTCAATCCCCGGTCCAAAAAAAAAAACAACAAAAAAAAAAGAGGAAATGATGGAGATTAAAAGTGAAAGAAAAAAATACTTGGCCTTTATTTAATGGTTTGTTGATTTTCCAATCGGGAAAAGTGAAACACAGAAGTCAGTGTATTATTCCGGGCTGCAGGGCTGAGATGTCCTCAGGTAAACTGTGTTACAATACAGATCTCTCCACTGTGAAACACAGGGTCCTCTGCTTGCACCTGGATCGTTCCTTACACTAATGCACTGTTGGGTTATTCCGCGTGCGGGCTTCGTTCTCTTTCCAATAACCTGCTGGCCCTCCCGTCCTGTGTGCTCCCCGCGCATCCAGGCGTGACCCTCGAGTCGGACTCCTGCCTCGACCCGGGCATCCCCGTGAACGGCCATCGGCACGGCAGTGACTTCGGCATCAGGTCCACGGTGACCTTCAGCTGTGACCCTGGCTACACCCTGAGCGACGAGGAGCCCCTGGTGTGCGAGAGGAACCACCAGTGGAACCACGCGCTGCCCAGCTGCGACGGTAGGTGGCGCTGGAGAGACGCATAGAGCTGGGCCCAGGTGAGGCCTGGAGTCTCCACCCCTCTCGCTGCTGGGTTGGCAGCGGGCCGGGCGAGCGCGGCGCTGTGTTCATTTTCAGGAAAATGAGCATTTGCCTTTGGTCCGGGGAAAGCCCCGTTACTGTGGAACTGTCCCTGTGGGAATTCGCGTAGGGAAACGGAAGTTAAGTACAGAATGGGAATTCTGTACGCGATTTCCGCCTGCGGTAACGTTATAGATTGTAAGCATTTATTTTCCGTTTCTGTATTTTAAGGTTGTTGGTACATCTTAGCTATACAGACTGATCACGTTCATCTTAGGGAGTTGTACCTGCTCGTGATGCGTCTTGAGTCTTCTTTTTCCAATCCATTCCCTTCCCCTCCCTTCAACCCTTCATCTCATTTACAAAATCTTCATTTCCATTTTAGACTTTTCTTTTTTTCTTTTTCTCCTTTCCCCATCACCCCTCCTTTGTACCCTTCTGATTTGAACATTTTCTTCCTATGTCACAGTATCAATTATACATTTTGGTCTGTATTTCCACTTTCAGCTTCAAACATCGGAAAAGCAATTGGGTATTTAAACACATTTCTAATTTATTCCATTTAAGAGTATGGTCTCAAGGTGCATGCATTTAGCTACACGTTTCTCAAGTTTATCCTTCTTTATGGCAAAACATATCTTTATCCATTTGTCAGTTGGGCTGCTTCCAAGTTTCAGCTGTTACAAACTGTGCCACTGTACACATGGGTGAGCATATATCACCGTGATATTATTCTTTTAATTCTTTCAGGAAGATGCCCAGGAGGGGAATAGCTGGGTCAGATGGAACCTCTAGCTTAAATTCTTTGAGTAACCTCCACACTGATGTTCACAGTGGTTGCACCGGTCTGCGCTCCCACCAAGAGTGAAGAAGGGAGGGCTCCTACCTCCCCAGAACCCCGCCAGCATTTGCTACTGATTGATTTCTTGATAGCAGCCATTATTTCCGGGGTGAGATGGAATCTAAGCACTGTTTTAATTCACATCTCTCAAAGGACCAGTGATGGTGAACATCTTTTCATATGTTTATTTGCCATTTGTACTTCTTCATCTAAGAAGTGTCTGTTCATTTCAGATGCGCATTTTTAGATTGTGTCATTAGATTTGGGGGGCTGATTTTTACAGTTATTTTTATATTTTAGATTTTAGTCTTTTGTCTGAGGAACAGCTGGCAAAAATGTTTACTGACTCTGTGGGTTGTCTGCATACTCTGTTGGTGATTTCTCTTGCTGCCTCTGAAGATGCCACAAAGTTGTAAACATTTATTCAAACATTATGTGTTAAACACTTTGGCTTCTTTAAAAGAAGGCGCACACAGAAGTGAGTTTCTGTAAGAATTACACTCAGCCACACACCGCTTAAAACTGTTCCCCTTTGCCAGCCAGCCACGTGCTCATCCGATCAGTCCTGGGCATCTTCAGGTAGTCAGCGCTGCTGGACTGCAGGCTCCAGGGAAGGGTGAGGCCTCAGAGCTGGCCAGGGGGCGCTGGGCTCTGGAGACAGCGTTGAGCAACCAGCTCGGCTGTGCAGAGCCACTGGAGGCTGGCACAGAGGAGGCCAGTGGAAGGGTCGTAGCTGGAGAGGCAGTGCCCACGGGCTGCACTGCTGCTTTTGGTGATGTGAAGGTCATCCGCTCTTAGGAACAGTGCAGGCGTTTCTCCTGGCCCTGCTGTGGTCACAGCTCTGGGGTCAACTCCGTCTGGCTGGTGAAGAGGCAAGAGGCCAAGGGCAGTGGGACAGATACAGTTCAGACCCACCCAGAGATGTGACCTCACACCTGTCCTGTCAGGATTTTTGCCACCCGGTGACAGCCGGGCAAGAGCACATGCCGGTGGGAGCAGAAAAGAGGAGCCATTTGGATCACTGGCACTGTGGCAAGCAGTCCCCGGGCCTGGACTGAAATGTGGAGCCCTCATGAAACTGAGAAACGCGCTGAGGGATGGCCCCGCACTCCCCTTGCAGGCCTCACCCACAGAAAGGACACTGTTACCTGTGGGGACATCCGTGCTCAGCATTCTTTACAGCGCTATGCACAGAAGCTCAGATGTGAGCTCGGCCCAAGGGTCCACCAGCAGACCAGTGGGTTCAGAGAATGTGGTGAGACATGGTGAGACACCACTCAGACACAAAGAGAGCGAAGCCCAGAAGCTGAGTGTGGTGGTGCACACCTGTAAGGCTGGCACTGTGAGGCTGAGGCAGGAGGATCACGGCGAGATCAAGGCCAGTCTACATATAGTGACTTCAAGGCCAGTCTAGACTAGGTAAGGAAACCCTCTCTCTAAAAGCAAACAAAAGAAGAACAGAATCACAGAACTGAGGCATTTTTAGCAACGTGGATGAGCCACATGACATTGTATTGCGCTCAGTGAGCCAGGCGAAGAAAGCCAGTCCACAGAGCTCATCACATGTGGATGTGCCAAGCCAGCTTCTGGAGTAGCGAATGGAGCTTTGCTCCTGGGGGCTGGGAGGCAGGAAGAAAGGCCCGGAGACGGCGTTTTCGAGATCTTACCCCGGGTTCTAATGTCTGAGCTGGCGAATTCACTCAGTAGCTTCGTTTGACCTTTACACAACATAGGCAGGTATCCAAGCACCATGATGTTCCCCAGAAGTGGGTATTAGTATGTACCAAAACAGTGAAGTTTTTAAAAAATTTAAAAATGAAACAAAATTTTGCAAAACCTGAGAATATCACATAGGATATTCAGATATTTGCCACATTTTATGGTTCAGTTCTAAAAACAACTTTAACAATAGCACCCACTGTTTGAATGCTGCAACTCTGTTACACATGCACTTAAAAATGCTTATAAGTGCATGTCTGACTGAAGGTGAATCGATATAATTTATTAAATGTCTAAAATCTGCCGTGAAACAAGCTAGTCACAGGCATAATTTTATTGACATCTACTCACATGCAGGCCATGGGGCTTTATTACATGCAACTGTGTGTTTGCAATCACTTTTTCCTCGTTCGAGGGCTGCACTCAGATAAAATGAGATTTGGAAATCTGTGCACAGGAGCTATGGCCCCCGCACGTTTGCACCCGGTGAGGGGTGAGCACCAGAGCAGCAAGGGCCAGGCCCAGTCCTGCTGTGGACATGGCCAGCTGAAGTCCTCTGCTCCCTGTGAGCATGGAGCCACCTGGCGAGCCATAGGCGGACCTCACACGACGGGCTCTCCAGTTAATTAGGAAAGAGAGGAGTTCGAGAGAGTGACCGCTGAATCCGCTGAGATCAGTCACTTCGCTCCTGAGCCAGATTCTTCCCCACGCATGGCACCCTTACCTGATTCTGTGCCTTAAAATACCATCCATGAGTTATGGATTCAACATCAGTGACTTAGTATTTTCAGTCGGATCATTTTCTTCGACCGCCCAGCGGGGAAGGTCCTCGCCCGCCCTCAGCGTCTGCCTTGTCACGTGACCCGTTCTCTTCCCGCCAGACAGGCTGCCTTCGGTCTGAACCAGATCTGCTGAGCTAAGCCCAGGTCCTCCTCACACCTTTCCTGACCTTCCCTTCTTCTCGTATGCGATTCAATAAGGTTTATCTTTAACGTTTACAGTGTCGGCTGCAGGAAATAAATGCATGATGAACGGATGCATGTCGTGTACAGTGGTACTTCAGTTCACGGATTTCACCTTTCAGGGGAGGTGGCCTTGGTCATGTTTGTCACCAGGTGCACAGTGTACGATGGAAGCAAAATTCTGCTAAATGCTTTTGTTCGCCAACAGAAGCATCCATGAACTGAGGTATGACTGTATTGGCTTCCAATTTAAATTTATGTAAAATTTCTAAATTTAAACGAGCTGAGGAGATTGGTGACATAATTATTGGTTTTGCTGCAGTGGAATAGGTTTCAGAAATGATGACTTCATCATAAAATACTACTAATAAGTGTTCTAATTCCAGGAGATGTTGGAGTTTGACAGGAGAGTTTCAGTGCGTTGTGGTTGATTGTTTTCATTTAACTCTAAGAATTGCTTTCTTAGCCCTTTCAAATCTCAGACAATCTCTTAAATCCTTTGGGTTTTTATTGCAACAAACCATACATCAATAGGATGCTTACACACTTACAAATTCATAGCTTGTAGAAAGGAAAAAAATAAATCAGAATTACGTAGACTGTTTTACATCACTATAAACAAAAGATCCAAGCTCTGCAGAACTGAAGGGCCCTGTGCTCCCTGACCCTTCTCTCCCTTGGAGAACCAGTGCAGGGGCATCTCAGGAAAATCCTTTTGCTTCCATAAATATTTCTGTAAAATGGTTACTTCTCCACAGTTATTTATCTAGACACTATTTGCAGCACCACAGCAAGCAAGTCACAATTCATCTAGAGAAAGAAAGGCATTTGTTAGATCACACAATGAAATAAGTGCCTTATTAGACACAGGTAAAATGTCTGAGGATAAGGACATGAAAATTTAAATTTTTGAAGGTACACTGTAGAGTAACAATGTTCAATCTTGAGGGCCTGGGACATAGATGCCCAGGCAGATCTCTAAGGGAGAGACTGGGAGAAGGAAGGGAGCGGAGGCTGGGAGGCAAAGCAAACAGAAGCAGGAGGACTGGGCTGAAGTGAGCTTGCAAAGGCGGTAGAGGGCTTTGAGGCTGACTGCTGGGTGCCATCAGGGAGTCCCGGAGCTCAGAACCCCGCACAGGGTCTGAGAGGGAAGGGACTGCCTGGAGTCCTGGTCTGCTGTCCCCAGCTACCACTTCCTTCACACAGGGATTCCAAGCTCCTTTTGAGGAAGCAGCTCCAGTATCAGCAAATGTGCCCATGAATGAGAGCAGTCACTGCCTCTGCGGGCACAGAAGTGGAGAGGTCCTCAGTACATTTTGCATTGAGTGAAGTTGTCTTCACAGTTTATGGCAAATGAAAGAAGAAAGACAATGACACGTGAAAAGAGAAATGAAAGAAAGCAGATAAGACATAGGTTTTCTCATGGTGATCTCTTCAATGAAGAAGCACGCAGGACCTCTGGGGCTGAGCAAAGTGACCAGAAACTCAGCAGTTACAGAGGAGGAGCTGGGGAGCAGACAGACTGGCACTGTGACATGTGCAGGAGGTGCAGGAGAGACGCCTGACCTCGACAGCACTTCCTTATCCCGCCTGGGTTGGAGTAAGAGGCTGCGTGTAGAACACCCCTCTGGGGGACCGCAGGTGTTAAGGAAGAGTGGTGTGAACGTGAGCTCCCAGGAGAGAGGAGAGCCTGACCAGGTGGCGCCTCCCCTCCCAAGGCCGTTGCCTCTGACACCCTCGCCATGCCCTGCCCCTGCCTTTATGCAGTGCAGGCCGGTAGATGCTTAGCCACCAATTTGCTAGACTCAGCTCTCGGGGAAAGCGTGACTGACTGCAGCTTACTTATCAGACGACTCTGGGCAGCGTCCTGGGGTGACAGGGCAGGGGCCGCGTGGCGGTGCTGGGGCACAGCAGTTCCCGCGACACATGAGGCCTTCGCACTTCCCCTGAAGAGCAGCTAGAACCCAAGAGCCGGGAGTGGAGGGGCGTGGGGTGGACGGAGGGCAGTGGGTCATACAGCGTTTTGCCCCCCGCCTCCTCTGCTCCTGCCCCTCAGCCTGCAATCAGTGGTCGCGATCCTGAGTGAGGACATCAATGGCACCATCCTGCTGTGCCCTGTGGCCCAGCCACCTCTTCCTCCTTTCCTGTTTTGGTTTGTTTTTATGAGTACATGTTGCAGAGTTCTGAAAGTAAGTTAGTGTCTTGTTCTTAGAATGAGTCAGACCTAGGTATCTGGGGATTTGTTTGTTTTTTGTTTTGTTTTTGTTTTTGATACCGGGGATTGGACTCGGGTCCAAGGCAGGCCACCGAACCACTGAGCTAAATCCCCAGCCCGGTATCTGGGGATTTGTGAGTAGACTGTTGACCTTTCTCCTTAGACTGTGAGCTTTGGTTACTGAAAACTTCCGTGTCTTATTGGAACGTAAAAGAGTGTTTGAAAAGCACAAGCACATTGTTAGGTGAATAATTCTGACTGCAGGGCTGTGGGTTGAACAGATCCAAGCCAGGGCTGGTGAGGCTGGGACCATGGTCAGGGCAGCTCACCTGGCTCTCAGCTGTGTCACCTCCTTTCTCTTCTGGTTTCTGCACAGTTTGTGTCCATCCCACGGATTCCTGGACAGTGTGTCTGGAGGTCTTGCTGGGTCAGTACTATGAATAGAGAAGTGAAATTTGAGAAATTATAGCCTATGGAAAGTGTAAGTCTTTGCTGAGTCTTTCCTAACTCTCCAGGAAAGACTCCAGTGCAGAAGAAATAGCTGCATGCAATTCAGGTTATATGCAACCAAGTTTTCAGCTCTCCCCAGGGAGGGGAGCCTTGTCCATGAATATAGTCAGGGCCTGCATGGACACAGAGATGTAAGTCAGGGTTTCATGTTATTCCCTCCTTTCTGCTCCTCAATATTAAGTGAGAGTGCCAGCTTAATTCTCAGTACATCAGATTCCCTTTTCCATAAAAAGTGTGGGCTTTGTGTACCAAGTTCATGCAAAATATTCATAATGAGTGGCTGAGACGGTGTTGTATTTTCATGTTTGCATTGAAATGAGCACTGGGGCTGCTTTCTGTGATGTTTTTTTCTGATTTCATCCTCCATGGAATCACAAGGTATTGGTTGGTCACTCTGGGTTCTGTCCCATGTGCTGCATGCAGCCCCTCTCCGGCTGCTCCCAGTAGTTAGTCAAGCAATTTTCCTGATGACATCAGGACAGAGAATGAAATAAAGCACTTGGACTGTATAATTTGTATTTTATTTTATTTTATTTATTTTTTGAGACCAAGGTCTCACTATGTAGTTGAGACTGACCTGGAACTCACTATGCAGCTCAGGCTGGTTTTGAACTCACAGCTATCCTCCTGCCTCAGCCTCCCAAGTGCTGGGATTACAGGTGTGCTCCACCACACCTGGCGACTGTATAATTCTTAAATGTAGCTAGACATGAATAAATTTTTGTCAGTGCATGTAGAATGTGCTCTTAAGGTAAAGACTATCAGCAACTTTAGATATATAGGATCTACATTTTATATAAAATGTTTTTAATTCCTTTTGGTTAAATCCTTCACAAAAATGGGAGAAGTGAACATGCTAATTTATACTGATAGAATCACAGATGGATCAGAGTGACTGATGAGCACTTTGCACAGTCAGGGAAACATTCTACCTGGTTCCCTCTGCCACTCTGCTTACGTTCCTCAATGGAATCTCGGTGTCCCCTGATCTGGTGTCTCTATCCTTGGTCACCTTCTTTGTGTCCATATTCACTGTGCTGGGCCTCATGACCCTTTGTCTGCCCTCAGCATGGAATCCAGACTCCTGTATGAGATGTAGGCACCCAGTCCAGGTTTGATCTGCTCAAACATCAGAGCCTAGGAGCTTAGTCACATTTTGGGAAGCCCTGGCCCAGGTCTTTGTGCACTGGGCTGATTTCACTTAGTATAGCATCCTCCAGCTCAGATGGATGAAAGTAGCAGGATTCCATTCTGCTTTTATAACATTGGACTCTCCCCCTCCATCTGTCTCACCCTGTGGATGAACACACTGGTTGTTTCCGCTCTTGCTGTTGTGACTATGCAGTCAATGTGTGAGTGTGGCTTTCTCTTCCACATACTGAGTCCTTTCCCTTGGACCCACAGCCAGGACTGGAGTTGCTGCAATGTGTGGTAGTTCTCCTTCAGTACTTTTAGGATTCACCATACTATTTTCACAGCGGTGGTGCTAGTTTATAGTCCTGTGAGTCGTGTGTGAGGGTCCTCTTTCTCCACATCCTTGCTAGAGTTGGAAACCCAAAGAAGATGGTGTCTTAGAGGGAGCGAAGAGAAGAGCTATTGCAAGGGCTGCCCAGACCACAGAGGACAGGAGGTGCCTGTCCAGTGTCTTCAGCACAGCAGGGCAGGGCAGATGTCTAGGCATGGCTGACAACAATTGGTCCACATTTCAGAAAAGCCAGTGGAGAGGCTGCTGAGTGTTCCCAACAAAAGAAATACTGCGTGTATGTGGGTGTGTAGTGATGGGAATGCCAGTGATCCTCATCTGATCATTGTACGTGGTATTCAGGTATTGAAATATCACAGTGTGCCCCATAAATGTGTACAGTTATTATGCATTTAAAATTAATAAATATATGCATTAGAAAATGCTTAACACTGGAAGATCTCCTCTATACTGTGTTGACAGACTATCAGTACTTTCCCATTTAAATTACTATGCATAATGATCTTTTTCTTCCATCAGTAATGACTCTGAGTTAGTTCTAAATGTGGAAATTTAGTTGCTTGGGGTGTAAACTCACAGGAGGACTGAGAAGATGCCTGAATCTGCTGTGTCCACAGTTCTGTGCTTCTCGAACCTGGTCCCCATTCCTTCTGTGCTTTGTTTTGCCTTAGGTTTGGTACTGGTTTTGGATACTGCCTATGTCCTGGCTTATCAGAATTTGGACTAAAATAAAGTTTAAGCTCTGTTTGTCTTTTTCATGAAAGTAACATTGGATCTTGTGTTAGCCCTATCGCAAATTCAGTGCCATTTTAAGTATTTTGCCCTAGCAGTCACTGTGAGACATTGACACTGGGTTTATCTCTGTTGATTTTAGCCCTGTGTGGAGGTTACATTCATGGGAAGAGTGGAACAGTCCTATCTCCTGGGTTTCCAGACTTTTATCCCAACTCCCTCAACTGCACGTGGACCATTGAAGTGTCTCATGGAAAGGGTAAGACAATGATGCAGGCCTTCAATTCACAGGATAATGAATGGGGATAACAGGAAACAGAAAAATACTAAGGTCTGGACAAGAACAGAAATAAGAGCTGATTTCCTTATATGCATTTTAGTCCTTAATTTTTATTTTTAATGAGATTCTGGAAGAAAAATGATCTTTAAATTATCAAAGCTACAAGCAAACTTATATTCCTTGTTTTGCTCCTTATCAGATAACCCTGCTGTATGCATGCAAATAAGGAGTGGAAATCAGATATAATGCTGAGAAACAGGGCCAACAATAAAAAATAACATGTGAAATCCACATGTGTGATTAGGAAATAGGCACTTATCTACCCTTTAGCTTATTTTGTAAATCCGGGAAAATTTGTGTATTTGCCTTGCATTTAAAAGTTTATCCACTACTGTTCCACATAATAAATAACCAATTTTTACTTAATCCAAAATGACACCTTCCCAAATAGATGTCATAATAGACAACATATTATAGGCAAATCCTGGAAAGCCGAAGAAATAGTGAATTCTGTGTCTTTTATACCTAGCTAAACTTGCTTTTCTAGAAATGCTATTTAGAATTTTGATCACATAAATACTATGTGGACTTTGTCTTTGGACATGTATTTAAATTCAGCTTGGTGGTAAACGGCTCTATTTTATTATCTGTTCTGTTTTATACTGTGCTGTCATGAACGTATATTAAAGATCTTGGCCATAAGGATACTAAGAATGAAGAGGAAACAGATCATGAGTGACCAAGTGTTTTAAATCAGAAAAATATGCTTACTTAAAGAAATGTTCTCCTGGTTAACTGTATTCACGTCAGCATAGACATTCAGAAGAGATGCTCAGTGTGGTGTCTAAATCGGCACAAGCATGGTTGGTGGGTAGCACTACATCCTCAAGGACAGTTCCCCTCAGTCATGCCTTGGATGCGTGGGAGCTTCCAGCATTTTCTGAAGGGTGGTTCAGCACAAATGGAAAAGTTATTTTGTTCTTTGTCCCTCTGAGACAAACGCTCTCCATGTGAGCCCGTGGACCATTTTTGAATACAACCATCACGAACACCCTTACCTGAGTTACCTATGTGTCGTTATCTCCATCTATATCTGTCCTCCAGTCTACACCAACATCCACACGCATGTGCAGCCACACCTAGATCCACAACTACATGTGCACCCTTGTGTGCACCTGTGTCTACCTGGACATCTCTCTATATCTGTGTGGCTCCATCACAACATCTCTGCCATATCTCCACCTGCCTCTCCCTCTGAGTCTGCATTCTTCGCAATCACATTACATGGACATCTGTTTGTCCAGATCTTCATCTACTTTTATCTGTAGCATATATTTGAACACTTATTTTTATTTCCTCTTTCTCCATTTCTAAAATGGCCTTTTCCTATGCACTTTTCTCTCAAGCTTCAAGGTCAGAGTTACATCTTAAGATACTGTTTTAGTACTTTGATGTCCATGTGCTGGGGAGTGGTGACTTCTCCACCACACTGCCTCTCCTGACCGCTGTCCCTGTCTCTCTGCATCTCAGGGGTGCAAATGATCTTCCACACCTTCCACCTGGAAAGCTCCCATGACTTCCTCCTCATCACTGAGGATGGCAGCTTCTCCCAGCCGGTGGCCAGGCTCACAGGCTCTGTGCTGCCCCACACCATCAAGGCTGGCTTGTTTGGAAACTTCACTTCTCAGCTGCGCTTCATTTCAGACTTCTCCATTTCCTATGAGGGCTTCAACATCACCTTTTCAGGTATGTCGGTCTGCTGAACATTCCTCAGCTCTGGTAATGACCTTGTTATCTCTGGTTTCCCTCTGCACAGGCTTTTAATTAGAGATACCCTTCCCAGCATGGGGGCAGGAGCTGAGCCTCTGCCAGGCATGGTGCACAGACCTCTGGCTGCCACAATACACTGTGCCCTGGTAGAATTCTAAACCATCATCCTTGAAAAATTACACATAAATCATCTTTTCAAGAAGCCCACCCAGCTTGTTCCTCTTGGTTACTTGTGTCCTCCTTGAGGATACGTCTCTCCCACAGAGGTAACTTCAGGGCAAGGCATCCCCTGACCCTGCTGGCTCCCCTCCAGTGGATGCCAACATTGCTGGAGAACCACTAGTGGAAGCTGTGTTGACACTTGGCTGAGGGAGGACGGGCTCTTACCCCCTTTCCCACAATCACAGGGTGACAAAACTCCATTCCATGGTTAAGTGGCTTTTAAGTTTTATTGTAATAGAGACAATATTTGTGTAGGGTTGATGCTGTATCAGATATTATTTGCATGGGTTAGATTGCTGAGTTTGGATAGTTTTATGCCATAAGTGATAATGTAATTTTACAGGTTAGAAAAAAATTACTGAGAAACATTTGCCAAAAATTGAAGACACACATGCAGGATAAAGTTTGGTCATGTGACAAACAGGGCTTAGTGAGCAAATGATGGTCAGAGCTGTGGTGCTGGAATACATTTCCCCACCCTGTGCCACTGCCAGCGGGAAGGGCACCGTGGCCCTCAGTTGCTAACTGTGTAACGATGATACTGACTTCTGTGTATGGTCCTCTATAAAACCTGTTTCCCCTCATCCTGTGCAGCTCAGATGTGACATAGTTTCTTACAGTGGCCCCTGGGTACCACAAACACATGTGACTTCTACTTTCAAGGTCCTACAAATTCCCTAATGACTTTCCATAGCTCTTGTAGGAACAGTCGCTATAATATTTGAGTACCCATCTTATCTCCTCTATGAAGCACAGCTCTGGATAGAAGGTCTCTGTTTACTCTTTTTTCTCTTAGTTGGCATCTCTCTGACTGTGCTGGATGTAATAAGAATTTAATCAGGGCTTACTAAATATTTCATTATATAGAATGAAATGCCATCTCTAATACCACTCTCAGGGACTTCTCTCTAGCTCCCACCAGATGCCATTTATCTTAAACTGACTTTGCTGATGGTTTCTTGCTATGTCACTGGGTAAGGGCAGCCTTAAGGGCTGGCTGGGATTACTCCAGTTCTTGAAACTTACTGTAATAGGGAGTAATCATGAAATTGGGCACTTTACCTATCAAATACTTAAAATCTTTTTAGCACAGATGCCTAAATCCCTTGTGCCACCCGTGTCCCCTGGTGGATCCCAATTAGTGGCTCTGTGAGAAGACTGCTCTTCCGCTGGGCTTTTGATCATGATCCACACTGAGCTGAACACTGAGGGCAGAGATGGCCCTGGTGTGAATCTGCGGACCTCATCACAGATTTCCTTGCGTGTCTTCAGATTCTTCTCACTTTGTCGCATCTGTGTCTCGCTTCTGTTGCTTTCAGCATGTGACTGACAGACTCCTGATTACTGTCTGAGTCCCTTGGTGCAGGTTTCTTGAAACATCAGAGATGGGTGGTGGGTACAGCACAGGCCCTACAGGCTGGGCCAGCCCAGATCGAGGTGCCAGCATGTGGCTGGCATCTGTGTGCACCCTCTCCTGGTGGGAGATGCGAGGGGATGGGCCGAGTCCCCATGTGGCAGAGCAGAGATAGAGCCCAGCCCACCTCAAGCCCTGTCATAACTGTGATTCCATTGGACCACACATCCCAATGCCACACGAAACAGTTTCCAAAACATGCATTTTGGGGATCACGTTCAGTTCCTAGCAATCAGAATTCAGAATGGAAACGTAGAGCTACATATTTCATAAGCTCCTTTGTAGAAGCAAGCAACAGCAATAGGAAAACGCACTCTTCTGGGCCTATGGAGTTCTCCAGGGGCAATTTTTAAAATGTTAACTGATGTTGGAGCCAAGGTGCAAGCAGTTGTGAACATTTACAAGAATTCATTTACACACAACCGGTAGATGTAAAGCATAAAGCTTGCAGAAGGAACCTCTTCATAAGGACACTCACACAGGCAGTCTTGTAAAAACCTGAGGACACACCTTTGACTAAAGCAACTCAAAGGGACACTTGTTCCTGAGATGTGCTGAAGGAATCGTTTCACTCACAAGGATTTTGCCTTGAAACTGAACAGTGATCAGTCTCCAGCAGGCAAATGTGGTGATGTTTGCTCTTTTAGGGACCCAGAGGAGCAGCACCTTTATTACACAGTGCATTTACCCTTCGGGGACTTTTCTGATGTTGAATGGAAACAGCGTTGGCACACTTTTATATCTGTGTCTCTTTCTGTTACTCCAGCTTGCTCCCGGTCTTTCCCAAAGCTGTGACAAGCTTTCTCTGGCACCTGATGTTTTTATCTCATGCTCCCTACCTTGGCTATCAAAAAGCACCTTTAAGGCAGTCCAAGAACTGGCTGTGACAACTAGAAACACAGCCGAATAATTTCAGACTCTTGGAGGGAGAGTTTTGAGTGAGTCATCTGACTTTACTGTGCTACACATGTACGTTTATATTTTTAAAATACTAAGATTGATGCCATTCACTGTAAAATACAAAGGACAGCAAGTCACGTAACAGTTTTAGCAGAGTCAGAAAAACGCACAGTTGGGTTTCCTTTCAGAGTTGCATTTTTTCGTCCTGCCTTGCCCGCTGAGTGTTTCCCGTCCACACTCACTGCGTCTCTCTGTCCCAGAGTACGACCTGGAGCCCTGTGATGACCCTGGCGTCCCTGCCTTCAGCCGCAGGATCGGCTTCCACTTCGGCGTCGGGGACGCGCTGGCTTTCTCCTGCTTCCCCGGCTACCGCCTCGAAGGTGCGGCCGAGCTGACGTGCCTGGGTGGGGGCCGCCGTGTGTGGAGCGCACCTCT